ACCTAGAATGTTCTTTTTTGTCTGTCACTCTACTTGTATATACATGTAATTAATTGACTGTTCATTTTGTCCGTACCTTCGATACTGTTCGGTACGTTTTTGTCCCTTTTTTGTAATGACAGTGGACTTGTACATTTTTCTTGGTGTAATTGTATGATTTATTTTATGTTTTAGAAACAGATAAAGTTAAAGTCAAGTCATTCTGTTTTAACTATAGTAAAGCCAAGACTCTGTGTCATCAGTATTGAGGAAGGACTAAATCTGTAGGATAAAAATAATCCTACATCATCTACCATAATTATTTTCCTCATCTTTCCAGTAACACTGTGAATTCGGAAAACACACGAAGCTACTACAGAAGAAATCATAATTAATATATAGCACAATGATATATTTAATGCATGGCCAATACATTGTGCATTCTCTTGAATATTCTCAATTTTGAACAAAAGCGCTATACAGCTTACACCCATTAACAATGATTCCCTGACTGGTGTCACTTCACAAAATATATAACCTGAAAATACATTCGGTTAAGAATCAATCGCCTTATTTTTCACACTAATGCACTACCACTAAACAAATTCTTAATCACATGTAGAACTGTCAGCAACTTGATTACCAGCAGTCTACTCTGTCAAGTCACGCTTATGCTTCCTTGGAACATACTGCTTATGATTAGACCCACTAAAATGTGACCAGGTTTCACGTTTGTTTGAGAAGTAGGCTGAATGAAACTTTACTAAATATGTTTTTAGGTTGATATTAATGGCCCTACTCTGAAAAATGTATTTAGACACTGTCGATTTCAAGGATAAACCTGGATGCTTAAGAAGAAATTTTAGTTATATACAGCTACACATGTCAGTCAGTCAGTCAGTAAAATGAACTAAAACGTTGTTTCGTGTGCATTCATGTTAACCATTCATGGTGTTAGTCAGATCTCAAAAAAGATTTTTCGTTTCCAAATACAAACTTTGTCATTCTGAAGCGACGAATTCAACTGCCTGAAATATCAATTATCTCAAATAGTTAACAAGATTTTGGATGACTTAAGCTTAGTGAAACTGGGAATCTCATTCATCAACCCGAGCAGAAACCAGTGAAGTGGACATCCAGTATTTACATCACATCATCTTTACTAGCATGCGCTACTGATTGGTGTGAGTGATTCTCACTATATTCGCCATGGGCTTGCTTACAGGTGTAAGTACTAAGATATTGTATTTGTGATTTGTCACCGTTTTTTATTTAACATTGTTACCCTCTTAATTCATGCACAGAAACACATACGGTAACTTACACTGCAGATATTTCCACAGATAAAATGCTACTAAGTGAAGGCGATAAATACAACCTCAGTCCTATTAAACTGTGTTGAAGCATCAAAAGGAAAATGAAACATTCACATCCCTTATGGAGTGAAAACAAGCATAGGTTTGTTACCTGTGTATAGCATCTTTTATCAAAATATGGACAGTCGATATTACTTCTGACTATGAAGAGACGACAAGAATAGTGCTGTGCACATCACAATTATCCGAAAATATTATTACTGTTTTCATCATTATTAGTAGTGGTAGAACTTATGTCTAAAAATCACGGTATTCGGTATTGAATCACAAAATCATCGTATACACTGTAGAGGAATGAATGATTAGCAGTTTATTTATTGCATCATAACTGAAGTGAAGAATTAACAAGCATATCATATTTGTTGTCAATAATGATTACTTTCAGGATCACACATTTAAGACAACAAATGCATTCACTCAAATAATGCCATATACTCAGTTAATAACCTGTTACTTTGAAAAATACAATACACGCATTTTCAGCAGAAGTAATGTTAGGGAGAAATTAGTAATCATAAAATTCGATGTACTAATCATTGAAATTAGTTGCTTTGCAATACAAGTCTTAGAAAGTGAATGTACGGAGATTATAAGTTTCAGACGGATGTTACACCTTACTTCATCACCTGCATAAATTTATATATTGTAATTCATCAAATAATACAAACTAAGACATTGAGTGGTGTATGACCTCCTCCGTGGGTTATGATTGTAAAAAGAACACCGAAAACTTCGCAGTTAAGTCACTCACTTCAGTGAACACAATCACGTCTAAATTTCTCAACATTTAAATTTACGTTGATTATTTGTTATCTTTACCTTTCCAAATTAATTCACAATCCTCTATACTACTGATTGATTGAGATGGGTAGTTACATATGACTCATATAAACCAGTATCGCTTGGTACTCAGGTCGAAGTGGTCTAAACATCGGACGGTTGTTCGCTCTTTTTAGGCCGATCTCTTAAGCACTGAACCCAGTTTGATACAGCTCAGAGTAGTGAATCATCTCAAATCACCCGCATTCTGGCTGGCTATTCGGTAGAAATCCTCACCTATTGTGTATTTTGTTTAAATCACAATGTGGTTTAAATGTTCATACTTTTGACAACTTGCTGAAGGAGCAGAACTTATCTCACGAAGATTCTCTGAAGAAATGCTGCAGATTAAAACTGAGACGTTACTGATGAGTTTTGTCATTACAAACGGCTTACAATTCTGGGCGAAAGAAAATGGACGTGTTTAATTAAGTCATGAATTCTAGACAAGCACTTGTTGAGACTCAACATTTATTTCCTGTATGTGGAAGTATGATTGATGATACCAAGGGGACCAATGTGAAGTAGTTCTTTTATTGAGGTACTTTCTAAATTCCAAAAGCATTACACCTGAATATGAACATCACGTGAAGCATAATAAAACATAATGTTTGATTTTTGGAATGTCACACATGAAAACGTACCTGAGAGGAGCTGTTAAATATTCAGACTCATGTTCAATCAGTTTAGTGAGACACTACTTCCGGAATCTCAAGTTAATCCGCATATGAGTGGCAAGTGATATCTCAATGTAGCTGCAACTATTATATTCTCCGGAGAGTGTCAATGTCCATATTTGCCAAATTACTTAAACTGTCCCTTTTTAAAAGAAGATCCATGGAAAATAAACTTAGGCTTAGGAGGAAACAATTTCCCACATCATTTATGGAGGAATATTCACCAGGAAATTATCAGGTTACCAAATTTACAAACAAGTGAGTTTCACTCTTGGTCAAGCTCTGATATCCTCTTGCTCTTATTTTACACGATTCGTCATCAGGTTTCCAGATGTAGTCAAATGTCTCATCCAAAATGTTTATGAAATAGATTATGGAATCATTGGAATATCTTGAAAACAATAGAGACCTATTTGTGAAGCTTCGGTACACAAATCACTATTACATTTTTAATCTCAAACCGAAAGCATTTTGACTACAGAAGGAATTCTAATATAAATCTTCAACAACTGCATTATTCTACTATCGGTGAGTAAGTAGCATACGTATGCAGAATAAACTTATCATCAGTAACATTGAAATAAGAATGCACTGTGGTATCGTTCAGTTATGGGTGAAATTTATTTTGATGGAGTCTCACAGTGTCACACAGTAATATTTACTGATGACGTTTCGTCAAAATGTATTGCTCATAATCATATCATATCATCAGTAAACTACAGAAATTGATGTCAAAGGTGTCTTCAAATCTTTCTCTTTCGTCAACTAACATTTCACATTTGAATGCCACAAGGAACATGACTTTTCAAGAAATATCTGGTGTTATTCTGATGAACAGCAAAAGTGAGAAAATCTCTGATTGCTCGACTGATTCGATAGGCGAATCTGCTATCTTGAATTAGATGTGTTCTCTGAGCTACAAATCTTCTGTATTATTTCACAGTCTGCTATCTGCAAACCAACCACCGATATTATAAGAAACAACCTAGACAAAATTACACAGAGTTCAGTTTGATCATGGCATGTATCAAATGATCATTGAAATTTGTTGTAGCTGATACGTAGTTGTTACGGAAATATTCTTCAGGCCTCTTGTATTGTCAGAAACTAACAGTCATTAATTTCTTGTCTATACATCCAGTTCAATCAATTAAATACGCCAGTTAAGACAAATGAATATGATTCATGTGAGCTGATGAATTGAGTATACTTTCACTGATGAACCAATCAAATTTATGTGGCTTCTTCAGCCATTTTGCAGGCCTTTGAGTTCATTCTTTCATGCTTGGGCTCAATAAATGACTGATGTGGGAGTAGGAGAAACGACTAACTGTAAAGCGGAAATTTTAAATGAGTGTGAATTACAAATTTGGTTGAAATTTAATCG